CACTTCTTGGCAAGGCGTATGACCTTACGGCTGCATATAGGCAACTTCCTTTGCACCCGTGCACGTATTGGAACAGCTTCATCTCTGTGTGGGATCATACCAAACAGGAGCCATCCGTGTTTCAGCTGCGTGCATTGCCCTTCGGTGCATCTAAGAGCGTTTACAGCTTTCTGCGCGCGTCGCACTCTCTTTGGTGGTTCGCGCTTGTATGGCGTTATCCATAGTATGGACTCTCTACTATGATGACTTCATATGCCTTTCCAGCAGCATGCTTGCAAGCCACACGGACAATTGCGTGAGAGCATTCTTTTTCTTGCTAGGTTGCCAATTTTCCTCCAGTGGAGATAAACACATGGATTTCAGCGAGGTGTTCACCGCGCTAGGAGTGACTGTGCAACTCTCATCTTGTTTGGACGGGCGTCTTACAATCAGCAATACCAGTCGAAGGATCAAGGAGTTGGTCGAGGCTATTCGGGCCATCCTCTCCTCGGGTTCTTTGGCCAAAGCCCAGGCTCTAAAATTGCGAGGGCGGATGCAATTCGCCGAAGGACAATTGTTCGGCCGCGTAGGGAGGCTATGCCTTCGCGCGGTGTCGGATCACGCCTATTTGGCATCCACCGCAACAACATCAGCCAGCTTGAGTCGTGCGCTAGCCAGATTTGCAAAGATGCTCGAGTTCGCAATGCCCCGTACGGTCAAGATTGGTCTGGAGTCGTCTTGGTATGTTTTCACCGATGCGTCGTACGATCCTTCTTCACGCACTTGGCCTTGTGGGGTTGGAGGGCTCATCCTCAATGCATCCGGCAAGTTGGTCTCAGCGTTTTCGGCATTAGTCCCCAATAGTCTCAGGGCGGTTTTGGGGGAGACCGTTAAGGAAACCATTATACTCGAGGCCGAAGTGGTTGCCTTGATTTGTGCTATGAGGAGGTGGAGGGGGCTGCTGTCGGGCAAACCCACTCTTTTCTTCGTAGACAATAAGCTGCGAGGGACATTGCCATTTCGGGGGCCGCTCGGTCACCCATTGCCAATAAACTGTTGGACATGCTGCTTCTTGACGAGTACTCTGCGGAGATCCTTGCCTGGTTCCAGAGGGTACCGTCCCCGTCGAATCCCGCCGACGCCCCCTCCCGAGCCCTCTTGAGGAGCGTCGCTTTGCACGGGGTTGAGGCTCAGTGTGAGGACATTTCCGATCTGCTGGAAGAGGTGGAGAACTCTCTCAAGGGCTGCTAGGGTTGACTCGGCTAAGATAGGGGATGTAGTCCTTAACCCGCGCTACCCGTGTGAGGATTCCTCCTCTGCCCCAAACCTGTTTCTTGACCTGTGGCAAATGGCCACTTCTTGTTGGCGATACGCCATGAGGATGTGATTGCATGTTTCCCACCGGCAAAACAATGTTTGCGTGCTTGCTTGTTAGCTGTGAGCGTGTGTGCACACTTGTCCAGTTCTTGCTAAGGCTACGTTTTCTAAGGTTTGTAACCACATGGCTCAAGTCGTTTTGGCTCAGAGGTAATGCTTCTTGCCTGTCAGGACCAGTACGTGCTCTGTGTTGGCCTTATTACCTGTGTGACGCCTACTCCGTCCTGTGCCGTGTTAAAACAGCCATAACCCTCCTTATGAAGGGAGCTGTCCTGGCCTTAAGCATGGACGTCAGTCCAACTTCTGGGAATGGTTGTGTGATTTCGGTCAACAGACTGGGATGTAAAGACTATGGACTTTTAGTTCCGTCCTTGGACGGTACCATGATGATCCTCTTGCTGACCCAGTCTCTTGATTGACGCTGTCTGGTGGGACACATGATGATATTGTATTCACTGGAATGAACGCGTGGAGACATCACCCCTTGGCGTCAGAAGGTGAGATCACACAATTGTTTTGGATGCAGCTCAGTAACTAGTTCACAAGCCTTGCGTAGGTACTGCCTGCTAGCTGGAGCTTGCGAAGTTCTCACGCATTGCCCCGGCTGTTCACCTGAATGTTTGAACTGACGGAGTGTTGCTTGGAATTGCGTCAAACCTGGCCTTTGAAGGTACCTGAGCGTAAACTGCAGTCTCACCTTTATCTCAAAATGAGAAGCTGATGAACACACGAAATTGTTGAGCGGTGCGAGAGTGCGCTAGCGAAAAAAATCAGACTTCTTTGACCTTCTCCCTGATTTGGGCGAATCTTCCTGTAACCAGTGGTGTTGACAGTAATCAAGGGAGATAGGCAGGAACTGACGTTCATCGTGGCGCACGCCCAAACGTACATAGGCCAGTTATAGCTCTGTGTCCTGATCCAGGCAGAAGAATTGCCGATGTGTAAAAGGAGTGACGTCGACGTGGGGGGTGTAAAAGCGTAGAACTTTCACCCTCAGTTACCCACTTTCTTGGTAGTGCTGCTGTAGGTGCAAGCTGTATTGGCTCCAACAATATAATTTTGCTCAAGCTTCCCCTTTTAGCTAAGTAGGCAGCGGGAAGATTACAGCAAAGCCATTTTACATTTGAGCCGCTTGTGGGAGAAGTCGAGTTTTGACGACCTCAAGAGAGGAAAACATTGGAGTGCACTTGAGGTTTGCAAGTGGGGAAGAACAACATACATTGCTGGCCAGTCACCCTTTTACAAACCATCCATTGCAAAGGAATCCGTCAGTCTTGTTAGCTCTCTCTCGGGAGTTTGCAAGTCGAGATGCCGTAGAAGCATATCGGTTCAATTGAATCAGAGTTTTCAGATTTCATTTTTGAACAAGATCCACGTGTTAGATGAATGACTTGGTTCATAAACCGATTGGACATTCTTTGATATCATAAGCCCGGGAACATTCAATGAAATTAGACGACTTTCCATCGTGATGGACAGTGCCTCATTTTACCTGTGCTCATGTGCAAGCAAAAGAATGCAATGTTTGCCATGAAAGTGTTGACTATCCATGTGGCCATTCATATGTGTGTCACATGTGCTATTTTAGCTAGCAATGTGCAAGACTTTTTTTTTCAACGCCCAGAATGTCCATAGCAAAACCGTGCGTGGCAGTGAACTCGGTTCGGAGCTTGCCAGACTTTTTGCCACCCAGCCCACAGAGATTTGAACAATGGTTTGTGATTGATTTTATCCGTTGCCTGTTGTCAATGATGTGAAGAGCCATCAGTGCCGGTGATGACCACTGTTAAATCGCGCGCGTGCATTTTGCAAATTTGTACATTCGACACACCATCACATTGGATTCCTCCGCGCACAGCCTGTGTCTTGTGGCTGTAAAAAAGATGTGAGCGTCCACAGCAGTCACATGTCGATTCAGTTGAATCGATTTTTTGCATGAACGAATTAGACATTTTCGATGAGTGCCTACCTTCAAAATCCTTGTTTCAGGAAGCGGCCCGAAGGTTCCGTGGCATCCAAATCAGCTCACGATTCGTGGGCTCTAGATTGTTTTAGCTTGGGCATACAGTTGGGCTCCCGAGTTGATCCCAACATTCCGTCCTCCACGACATTTTTGCCCGCGTGCATCAGGAAAAAAAGGGGTTGAGCTTGTTTCAAATGTGTGCCGCAAAGTCAGGTTCACATAAGCGCATTGCACTCTTCTGTGATACGGTTAGGCCCCCCAATACATTCTCCGAGAATGATGAAAGATTGTCTGACAATCCTTGGCTTTTTGCTGTGTCAGCTTGCGCATGGTCCCACTTACTGCAAACATCTACAAACCAAATAGCTAATTTAATGATTGATAACCAGTTTTTGCCCCCATGCCCTTGACCCACGTTGTGCGATCCCATCGTTATGTGTGAGTCGGTTCTTCTGGATATTACGATGAACAAAATTTTCAAAACAACAGAATCACAGTTTGAAAGTTTTGGTTCACCAACTGATGTGATCGATTGAACCATCATGCTCAGTTTTCTTCATTGTGAGGTTGTTGTTTCAGGAAATCTGGCTTAAGCCGATTTCTCTTGGACAGGGGCCATGCTTTCGCAGAAGGCCGAGGCTGGGCGCGCATTGTTGCGCAAACCCTGGGTGTCACAAATACTTGGCCAGTCTCATACCGGCATGAGCCAGCGAACAATGTAGTCACCTATATGTTTGAGGCACGGCGCCTACTGCTAGCGGTTGCTGCTGCAGCCATAGTTGGCGTGTGCACCCCAGCCATTTAGCAATAGTGCTAACTGCTTGACAGGTTGCAAGACCATGTGCAGGATGCAGGGCATGTGCCAAATGCAAATCTGACCTTCATATCGCACATTGATCTTGAGGCCTGGGGTGCTGTTGGCTTCGTTCACCCAGTCGGAGGCTGGACGGCACAAAGTTGTTAACCAGCATCAGTGACATTGATCGTGCGTGCCAGGTTTTTCGCCTTTGCCGGAGCGTCTGAGCTCTGCCAGACCTGCACGGGCTGGACCTAGGCGCGGGACGAATTAGTCGCCACCCTCTGCCCGGAACGTGCGCGTTTTCTCTGCAGCTGACCACGGAGGTTCCGTCGTGAGGGCTTCGCGCCCTGCGTGGGTGCTTTTTGTGCATCAGCACTAGTCCTCGCAGCTCGAGCAGCAGACCCAGTGCCCTGTTTCTTTGCTTCCACATTTCAAGCAACAAGAAGCCGTGTGTGTTATGTATCTTGTGTATGCCAATCAGTTTATGTATATCATGCATGTTATGATGCTTGCCAAGCCATTCAACTTGCGCATGTTATGTATATTATGTCTCTTATGCATGTTACATATGCTATTCCTATTATGCACATTTTGTATATGTTGTATGATATGTGTGTTTTGTATGTTGAGTATCTCATGTGCGTTATGTGCGTTATGTACCTTACGTATTTTATGTACGTTATGTATGTTATGCATGTATGCATGTCCTGTATGATACACATCTTTGACAGACATAACGCTTGTTCTGCCTGTTTTGCATATCGCGCACACGATGCTCTCGTTGTGTGATGCTAATTTGCCACTCTGGTCAACGGAGCGTGTTGGAAGCCTCCATTCCACTACCCTAAAGCATGTTCAGAGCATGTATGTGTATGAGCTGCGATGGAGGGAAGTCTCACAACTCGACGGGCAATTCCGCAGCAGAAGAGAATCCCGGCTGGACCCTCAGAGCGCCTGGGCCTTCTAGCATCAGTCACAGGGTGCGCGTTGCAGGTCGTAAACTTGGCCGGCCAGAAGATTGGTCAGCAGCTTTGGCATTTGGACTCGTGACAAATGTTGTCGCTTGTACTCGACTAGCTTGGATCCCGAACCTGCATGTGTGTTTTTTGCAAGGCGAAGAGGAACTGCAGCTGCGAACTTTCAGCCGAAATACAGCCAACTATTGCGTCCACCAGGCATGGACATGCGGATTCAGGTCTACTTGGTGCTTGCGCGCAGCTGCCTAGGCGCACACAATCTACAAGTACCAGCAGAAGCCGTTTACGATTTTTCTGAAGCGGCGAAGCGATATGAAAAAAGGCCAGCTTCCACGGATTCAGGGAGTCCGTCTAGTCCTTGTTGCCTCGACATGTGTTGACGTCGTTGATGCTGACAAGGCAAAAAGCTTTGGAAGAACAAAGGCGTAGGCAAAGCCCGCATGGGCTCTATGTGTGCAGCTGAGTTTGGTCAAGTGCCTTGCAATGAGCTGCACTGAATACACGCCCCGATCAAGTCAATGACAGCTATCAGGAAATATATTGCACGAGGCCTTCTGTGACTCAGCTAGACTGCCATCCCCCTTGCTCTGAGATACAGCCCTCTTTGGGGCAAGTCAGCCACCAACAAGAATCGACACGGCCTCGATGATCGCAGGAAGTTGACGCTTCCCAGGCCACGATAGACTGCACTGCAGAACCAACACAATCCACAACATCGTCTGTGTGGCAAGGTTGTTCCACAACAAGGCCATCTCCACCGTTTTGCAAAGCAAGTGGAGGTGCATGAAGATCGTGGAAGGTTTGGAGGACGGTGTTTTCGCTTGCATGCACTTGTGGTGATTGAAAGGCATTTGCGCCTCTGCCTAGCAGGATATTCAGGAACCTCGCTATTACGAATTGTGCGACATGGTCAGGGCATGGACCGGGATGGAGCCGGGCATCAAGTGCGGGCCGCGGGCATGCGACCCCTTCGCACGTGTGAGTCTAATTGTCGGGGGGCATTCGGGAAGACATCAGGCAGACGTTGATGATTACACGCAATGGCTACGGTGAGGAGAAGACTTGGGAGTTAGCGCGGCCTGGCTTGTAGATGGTGTCCTACATGCTTGTCTGCAGGAGCACAAGTACTGGTGCATCCCCACGAAATCCAGTTTCTGGAGCGGTTGCGATTCAGGGTTGAGTCCTCGTATTGGACGGATGGCATGAAAAGTGGTGGTTGACGCATCGCATTGATATCTTGTTGGCACCTCTAGTCTAAAGCTTATCTGTGTTCTGGGCAGGAGTCCCCTGTACATGGCTGGGCGCCTGATCCACAACTTCTCCATGCGACGACCTCGCTGCTTGGATGCCTTGAAATCATGCTAGCAGGGACGCAGGGTCTGCTGGTCTGTGGTCTTCGTTGTACACAATGCGTGTTCGTTTTGGGCAGGTGACTCATCAACAAATTGTTTCAGTCACGCTGCTCATTCCGAAGTGATTTCTGGTTGGCTAGGTGACATGGATCCCTCTAGTGATGGGCTCCACCGAGCCCTTCTGGGCAGAAGGGTCAGGAGCCTAGCAGTGTGCGGGAGGGACAAGTCTTGCCTGTATGTGCAGATATGCCGAAATTAGTGTGCCATGTCTTCCGTGGTTTGTAGGTTGGGCCGATACCAGGCGGATGATGCCATTTGCGGCTGAGGTCATCATTTCCCGCGAGGCCTTTTTCGATTTGCGGGTGATGGACTCAGGAGAGCGCGTCGCAGAATACGCCTGACTTTGCATGAGTTGCCCAGATTCAAAGCTCTTTCTTTTCCCCTTCTTTGCGCTCTCTCCCTGTCATTTTGCTTCGCCTTTTCCTCTCGCTCTGCCTCTCCTTCTCTCTGCTGTTCCAAGGCCAAGTTCAATCCCTACGATGGCTCCTTGGCCAATTGGCGGTGTCCTTGAAGGTTTATGTAAACTTGTTCGATGTACCAATTTCTTTGTTTTGGATGCCCTGCAGATGCCACAAAGGAGTGGCCATGTGCAGCATACAGATAAACCACGCGTGGATGTGTTCTGCTTGTGCCCGGTTCGTCGTGCTAAGGATGGGCTTTCAAGAGTCCAAAGAAGATTCTGGTTGAGCAGATGCAAAAGCTTGTCCAGGACAACCCTTGCGGCAGTTTTCGTGGCTTTGTGCCATTGGTCTTGGCAGTTCTGATGACTTTCAGGAATATCCTTACGACCGTGAAGCAGAGTTCGAGGCTGCCCGTGAGGTGGGCAGATGGAAGAGTCGATTTACCATTCAACTGCTGCAACCAGACCTGTGGTGCTGACAAAGTTTGCAGTAGCACATACTGCACCCGCCACAACTACTCACGTGTAGTGCCTGTAGCGCATGACGACCAACGGATCAGCCCCAACTCGCTCAACTCGAGGTGCCAAAGAAGTTGGCCGAGCGCGAGGCCTGGGCCAAGAAGGCCAGCTGCCGTGCACGGAAAATTTCGGAGATGAAGTCAATTTCTGTCCTGCGTGACTGGATTCACCTCCCGTTCCTCCCATGTGTGCAGATTCGCAAGAGCAGCTGAGGGGCTCTGGGTGAGAGTGTTTGCGGTCTTCAGGAAAAAGGTTCCAGTTAGAGATCTGTTTACGCTCTTCATGATGCCTCTTGTTCCCGTGATGAACATCACTCTTGGCACAGATTGGCTTTGAACATGCTGGTGCAGAAATCTGGCTCAAGCCGATTTCTCCAAGGGACCATGCTGTCGCCAAAGCTCGAGGCCAGCGGTTCGCCTTTGGGAGAAGTCAGTGCTTTCTGATTTAGAAGCTACGGCCAGCCAAGTAAGCCAAGTGCAAGGCGCGGCGCCCGCGCTTCGCCTTGGCGGCATTGGCAGCAGTAGCGCTGGTGGTGGTGCGGGGCCTGAGCTAGGATTCGCACTTTCTGGCCCGCAGTCCATTCTCTTTCCCAGTGCAAGTCCAGTTATGGATTGGATTGAACGGAAACATGGGTCGGAGCTTGAGACTTGTCTTCTTCGCTGGTAGCTGGCGGTCTTCTGACTTAGCACAAGAGTCCAGATCGTCAGATGACAGAAAGTAAGGCAGAAATGTCAAGATAACCCATAGTTGCAGTATTCAAGGCGATGTGTGGTGCATAACCAAGAGCTTGTGCAGAGTCTGAGGTCCCGTCGGGCTTTGCCAGCTGTCCAGCTCCAAGATGGATGCCAGCTTCAGATTTTTGGGTCCTTTCCTGGAAAAGTCACAGAGATAAGCTTAGCGTTCGCCCATGGTTGAGTCTTTGAACAGTATGTCATTGGACTTCGTGGTCTTTCTTGGGAAGCTGACATCATCCTAGGCAAATACTAGGTTTTTGCTGGCAGCTGCAGATTTTGGCGTTTTGAAATGTTTGGTCTCAAGATTTTTGACACGAAAACTCTCGGGAACAAAGGAAGAAAGGAATGAATTTGTCCAGGCAAGAAGAACAATGAAGAAATGAAGGAAATTAGACAGACACAGCAATGCAATGCTATTATCGGAGAGTGGAGCAAAGGAGGACATTTTGCTATCCGCCCCTTCAGCTTGAAGACTAATATCGCCCCTACGGAACTTATGGCCGCTGTTGCTACTGACAACTACTGTACCACTGCAAGTCACTGCAGTTGTTTTATCCTCTATGATCATCATGGCCAATGAATTGATGTCTCACAGCAGGTTTGTAATTTGTAGTTGCCAAAGATACAATAAACCATTTTCTGCACGAGGTCAAGTGGTTTTTTCATCTTGTTTCTTGTTCAGCACTTCCGTGAATGCTGTTATTCATGCTTCGTACTGGTAGTTGTTGTTTGTCTCACGCCGCCTGCCATCTTCATCTACTCGCATGGCTGTTGCCAGTCCTCATTCTTCCTGTTACTAGTATCTCCTCACACGAACGCCATGATTTGCTGACTTCATGGCAAGTTTGGTGTCGAAAAGCCCGTAAGTTTGTCGTTGCGAAAGTGCACAGCAGATTTGGGCACGCTCCAACATGAACCATTTTATGGTTTGGGCATGGATGCTTTGGCAATTGGCTGCGCTCGAACATGAATGTTTTCGGCATGGATTATCTGAAAATCGGATCCGCTCGAACATGAACATTGTTGTGGTGTGGACGTGTGTTCTCTGCACATGCATGACTTGCTAATCAAATGCGCTCGAACATGAAAGTTACTATGGTTGGGGCATGGGTACTCTGGTTACCGTATGCATGCCCTCAGGAATGAACGTTATAATGATTTGGGCATGGATGCTCTGAAAATCGGATGCATTCCAATCGTTATTATGGTTTGGGCATGGGTAATCAGATGCACTCGATCAGCTGAGCGTTATCATGGTTTTGACATGGATGCTCTGGTTATTGTATGCAAGCGAACATGTTGTCGTGGTTTGGGCATGGATGCTCCGGTAATCGGATGCAGTCGAACAAGAACGTTCATGTGCTTTGGGCATGGATGCTTAGGTAACCGGACCTTTCCCAACATGAGTGTAACCATGTTGTAGGCATGCATGCTTTGGTACTCTGACTAATGCCCTCGAGCTTGAACATTATCATAGTCTGGACAAAGATGCTCAGGTTTAGTGTATACTCAGCAACGGACGTTATCATCATTTGGGCAGGGTTGCGGGTAATCAGATGCCCTCGAACATGAACGTTATTATGTTTTTTTGGGTTCTGGCAAACGGATGTGCTACAACATGTTATCATGGTTTTGGCCCGGATGCAAGAAGCATCGCGCCCAGAAGCTCAGCCTCCTGGAGGGAACGCTGACAGCAACCCTTGGGCGTCGGGAGTATTTCCAGTGCAGTTATCTGATATAAACAGACTTACTACTTGCCGAGTTGCTGTCATTCTTACTGCTCTTACTACTACTGCTAATTAGTACTATTGTTGCCAGCACTGCGAGGAAACTGATAGCCAGGAACACGAGAGCTCCGTTCGTGAGCACTTGTAATACCACGCTTTCTTATGATCGCAGGAAGTGCTACTTGCTCCTCTGCTATGATTCTTGGTCTCAATGTCATTGCTTACTGTCATTGCCAGTGTTATGCAGACATTTTCAGCCAGGATGAGACCAAGGATCATTACATTCAACACACATTGCCGCTATAATCCTGCCTGTGCTAAATCATCGGTCCTGTTTGTCGAAGCAATTCATGAATTCCACACTTTAGCTATCATCACTCATGCATGGCATAGCAACTTCGCCACTACGATTTCGCTTCTTCCGAAAGTATAAATCTGGCTAGAAACATTTTCTTGATAAGAGAAGAGAGGTGGTCACACAAATTCAAAGGTTTTTCTCAGAAAAGCCCTGCTACCCAGGCCAACAATGAGAAGTCCACGCTCAGAATCTGGAAAAAAGCTCCACTGGTGAATGATGGAACAACTGCTCAGTAGCATGTAGATCCTGAAAAGCTGGGGCACCCTCCAGAGTGAAGGCTCGACGTAGACGGGACTCCTCCTTGAAGGTGTCTGCCTTCTGCAGCGAATACTGAGGCTTCGCCTTTGCTGGCAGCAGGCCAGCACTCTCCCCAGCCGCATGCCCAGTCAATCAAGGGGCTTAAGCCTTCCTGCAGCTCTGAGGCCCCAGCATGCGCAAACTCGGATTTGATGTGCCATGTAGCCACGAAGGCTTGATAAAGGATCCCTGAAGAGTCTGAGCTTCAAGGACTTTGTGCAAACCGGCTGTAGCATTAAACATGTCTGTATTGTTGTTTTTTTTGTAATGAAATGAAAGCATTTGATGATTTCGATGTGAATATCTGTTCTGATGCTGGCTGCTTGTCATTGGTTTTCTTGTGGTATGGCGGACAGTGTCTCACGGGCGTTGGCAGTGGCTGAGCTCACCATGGCACTGAAAGCAACAACCATGGTTGTGATTAGTATCGCCGTGCTGCCAGCTCTTATCTGCTACTGCTTGTCGGTCTTTCTGATATTCCTGTTCGTCCCCACCATGATCTGCTCGTACCACGACAAAGCCAATGCGCCATGCTGACAACCTGAACCATCCTGAACTCTGCACTTATGAAAACCCTTGATCATCCTGGCTGAATCCAGAAGACGCGTTCGCTGATCCAGGCACGGGGACGAGCCCTCAGGGCAGAGGCGCGCCTCGCACTAGGGGTGCGCAAGTCACCTTTCCGTTCAGGGTTGGGGGCGTGCAGATCCTGTTTCGGAGTCTTAGAGTTAGAGCCCATCTTGCACTTCTTAGTCATGACTGTTGCTTCTGTTGCGTATTTCATGTCAGGCTGAAGATGCTGAGGCCTGCTGCATCGCTCTATGTCGCAGCATGAATCTTCAGCTGAAGCCTAGGCCTAGTCTGCCTCCAAACCCAGCTTGTGCACAGGTAGTGGATGTGGATGTGACGATGGATGACGAAGAGGATGTAGCAGATGAGCTGTCGCTTTCCCAGCAGTCTGCAGCAGCCAGGGAATGCATAGGTGTTGTGAAGCCTATCGCTCCCAGGTCTCCAGAAGCAGAGCCCGAATCAGTCCTGGATGGTTCGAGCAAAGCGTTGGATGCCCACATTTGCAAAATTGAGAAATCAGCAGTGCACTTGTCCTGTTTCCTTGCAAGGATGTGACTCTGTGCCTTTGCAGCCTTCTGAGGTACAGCTTCGCTTGGTACAACAAAACCAAGTACAAGGTGTTCTCCGACTCGAAATTTGTCCGGTTCCCGGAGCATAGCTCCAGTCACACTTGTCTTCCACAGAATTAACAATTGCTGCTCGTGGTAGTGTGACCCTGGTAGAAACCCCCAGGTCATACCAAAAACTGGCGAGGAGGGCGAGCCAAGCCCTTGGCTTGTATGGTGCTGCGATCCTTCCCTAAACCTGTAGAGAGGGGGTCAACAAATGTCAACAATCGTTACAAAGCCAGGATTTTTCAGCTTGTGCAGTCATGAGATAGCAGCAGTCATACCAGTTGGTCCAATTTGTAGTGATGCGCAAGGTCTTGGTCGTGAAGGGAAAAATCAAAGCATGCAGTCTTTGGGGCATCGGGAGAAGTACTCTAACTTCAATTGCCTCTGCAAACAAGATCGCGCAATCGCTGACGAAATTGGGAATCAGCAGAAACCCCTCACCGAAAGAGGATTGATTTAGCTGCCGAAGTCAATGAAACAAGCGCGATGCTGTACTCTGCGGGCAGCACCAAGCAATTGCAGCGGCACCGGTGCCTTCGAGAAGCATTCTCCTCGACTGCTGCCCATGACTTCGTGGGTTCGAACAGTCGGAACGTGTGGTTCTTGAATGGCACTGCCGTTTACAAGCAGGCCCTGAAGTCAAGCTTCATGTGGTCGTTGGAGAGGCCGAAGCTCAGCCGTAAACTCTGTGCACCTTGTGCTGACAGAATCTCTGCTCCGACACGCATGCCGTCTTGATTTCTTGATTTTGTTGCAAGTACAGTAAGCAAGAGACCCGGCTGGAAAGTCTTCGACCACCAGCAACCAAGGAAGCAGCAACAGCTCGTGGTTATCTTGCGACAGATTACATCCCTCAGCACACATGCAAAAGTGGCCGTCCCAGGGCGCAGTCATTGCTCTCCACTATGGCCA